CCTGGAGCTGAAGCCACCACTTTTATCGTATTTGATACTCTGAGACCACCGGCTTGTCCGTTACCCAGAATAAAATCATCGAAATCGCGGCCATTAAATTTTTAGAAGGTAAAGAGATAGACCGATATACGACGTTTGTTAATCCGCACGTGCGAATTCCCTATCATATTCAGCAGCTGACGAACATCAACGATGAAATGGTGCGGGATGCTCCAGATGTGATGTTGGCACAAAATTGATGTGCGAAGACTGACAGGCATCTCTGTATACAAACGATAGTATATTAGTACTGTGCAAATCACATGAACCATAGCAGCAAAATATTGATTGCAGTAAATCAATATGACAAAACCCAAGGTTATTGAGACCAGTGGAGACGATTCGCTACCGAGTGAAACAAGTTCACTCAGAGCTAGCCCAGACTATAGCGTCAGGCGCGCATCGCACTAAGTCTCGCTCCCTTGAGGATTGCACTTGATCAACACCTTCAATACTTGCATGCAAATCAGAAGAAAACTGCACCTGTGCAAAAGTTAAAAGATCAGGAAATGAACACCTAATGCACTCAACGAGAACGATACGGAAGAGAAAGCAAGCGTATTTCACTGATACTTGAACTGCACGACGGTAAAGAACTTTGCGACCTTCGGAAGGTATAGACATACTTTCTAGCAACTCACTACCGCAAGAAACAGTCGATTATCCTCGAAGTAGTAATTTAAGTCAAAGTCCTCAACGTCTTGAATGCAAATCAGCTGCACCATCTGGGATAAGAACTGCCCCCAACTTGGGACACAGAGAGGCTGTCAATGATGTGTCCTAATTGGTGACATAGCGTACAAGTTATTGTACAGAATGTCTTACCATACAAAATATGTTCTGGACCCAATCCTGCATAAGTCGATACATCACCTTTTACAGGAAAGATAAATCAATGGTGCCAGGAAACTCTCTGAAGACAGACTCATAAAATTCAATCACATCTCTTTTTTCTTCCTTCTACTCAAGCTCCTCCACCTTCCTCGCCTCACCTTCAATAGAGTGTGGCCACGACGGCGGAACCAGCCGACCAGCTAGACTGGACAAAACTCGGGCTGAACATTGGAGCCAGTGGCCATAAGCCACCACGATATGACCCAGAAGGTCGGCCATTGGAGGAAATTACAACGGTTAGGGGGTTAGGAAAAAGTGGATCCCTCCCATTGGCGGCATTGCAGGCCATTGAAGCAGCAACCAGAGCCGCTGTGGGCGAGCAGAAAGCTACGCGAGCCAGTGCCACAGCCGGAAACCAGAAGGTCGCCAAGGCTATGGAGATCAAGTGGGAAGAGAAGAAGGAGCCACCGGGAGCGAACATGCAGTGACTCCGGGGGTAGTAAATACTTGGCCAGAAAGTAACCAGCTGACCCACGAAACAGAGGCTACGGCGTCAGTGTACGGACCAACACCGTCGGCGGGATACCCAGTTGTGCCCGTAAGCCAGAGCTACCAGTTTGCGTACCAAGGCCATGGTGGAAGAGGACGTAGCTTTGGTGGGCGTGGACGATCAGGAAATAACCAAGGCGGATGACCAGGTGGACGAGGTGCACGATTCGGAGGCTACGGGTGGCAAGGACGGAACGTTGGGCAAACACCAGGGCAGAATGCTGCTCAGTGGCGTCCAGGAACGATCTGCTTTTACTGTGGTAAGGGCGACCACTGGTGGAGAAGATGTCCCATGCGATTCGCTGATTTACAGGCTGGCCGTACGCAGCCAGCTGCTCCATCCACACTCACAAAAAACCAGCCAGAAGGTGGTGCGACCGCGTCGACGCAGCCGACGGACCAACAGCCATTTTTGGGAAACGCCAAGCAGCCGTAGAGGCGGGGACTCCACTGCCGAGGATGAAGCAGCACCCCAGTGGCGAGAAAGGGATAGATGAAAGAAACAGGAAGCGGATGGACAAACGGAAGCGGCGACGACCACGATGGAACGAGCCTGAGAACGGCTGGTCGGACAGCTGCCAGTTGAAGCCAGACGTGGAAAGATCAAGGGGGAGAGTACGACCGGCCTCACTTCCTCAGTGAAGGATCCGAGGGAAGAACGAAAGCAGACTCGAACTGAGTCAATTACGGAGAAGAAACCGACGTATGAGCATGATAGAAAGGACGCGGTGGATGGTTTTGCGTATCAGGAGGAAACCTCGTTAAAGAAGAGCGTAGTGACGACGAACGCGACAGATGAGCGGCAGAACAAGCGTATGAAAGGAAGCGAGGGCAAGCAAAGCGCCAGTGCGCACGTGGATGCCACGGATGTGTGAGAAGCTCTGACACCGGTGTACCGAGGTGAAGCGGTAGTCCAGCCAGGTTTCCCACAAGGACCATCGCGCGCTCCCTGGCGAGTGAGTGGTGGTGTTACGGTCGCTGCCCGGAGGCGACAACGACGACCAGAGTCTGACATGGCGACTGTGCAAGGGATTGCGGTACGGGAGCTTCGTGAAAGACAAGAAGCGGCTGATTATGCGGAAACGCATTGCGGAGCTGCGGGAAGTGCAGGATATTCACACCACCCGTCAGCGGCAGATCGAGCTCCAGAAGGTGATGGCGAAGGTTCGCAAGGTGGCGGCCATGATGGTGCTGGAAGCACGAGCAAAGAGGTACATGCAACAACAGGCGCCGTGCGTGTACAAGCGGATAGCATCAGGAATGCGACAGCCGCTGTCGTGGCCAAGGATGGCGGAGTCGCACTCGAGGATGTGCAAATGGTCATGCGTGTACCAGCAGCGGCAAGAATACCATACTCTGTGGGACAACAGCGTCGGGACATGAACTTACAGTGGGCAAAGAATTTGAAGAAATACGAGGACCAAATCCCAAAGTACCTGGAGGAGGCCGGGACCTTGGAAGAAATGCGAGCTGTGAGGCGCTTGGCGAAGAAGGAAGCCAAGGCGGTCAGGGCAGCCCTACGACGACGACGGCTTCAGAACCGCCAGGACCTACAGCAACGAGTAAAGAATGCTATCGCTACAGAACGGGCAGCACGGGTACAGCTGAGACAACATCGTCATAAACCCAACTACGAATACCATCGGCGAGGCGGCTATAAGGATGCCGGGGTCGTGAGTGAAGAAGGGAAGCAACTACGTGTAGCGCAGCTGCGGACTGGGGGGAATGAAACTCCTAGCAGCTTACCCACAGTGCTGCTCACCATGGGCAAGAAGCACGTTCAGGAGGTAAAACTGGATACTTGCGCACAGCTCAGTGTAGTGAGCGCGGGGTTGCGTCAGTTCGGACGGTGTTTAACCAGAGAGGCTCCAGTCGATCTGGTCGAAGGATTTGGAGGTGGTTGAGTACGAGTTATTGGTGTTTGGCGCTTTCGTGGCGTAACCAAGTTCCAGCAGACGGTGATTGTGGACGAGTTGGTAGAGGACGCACCGGGATGTGAGTTTCTTGTCGGCGAAGACTGGATGGTAGACAAGCAAGCCAAGATAAACTTCGCGAAGAGAGAACTCAAATACAAGGACGAGCATGGGCAGAGAATTATATTGCCGTTTACCTGCTACGATGTAACATCGTTATCTGAGGCAACCAGAAGCTCGGCGATGACGGTGCGGCTGGCTAAGACTGTGAAGGTGTCGACCAATACGCGTGGTATCGTGCGTGTGAAGGTGGATGTGAGCAACGGATCGACGGGCGTCTTTCTCCCGAAGCCCACCCACAAGCGCCATATACCGCTGGCACCAACATTGAGCACTGTGCAGAACGGAGAAGTGGCTGTGGCCGTACTTAATCTGGAGGGAGGAAGAGAGAAGTTGTCGGCAAGAGCTGAACTTGGTACGTGGATCCCCACTGACGAAACGATGAAGATACTGTCTCTGAATGGCGAACTGGACCGTGAACGCGTGGCTCAGTGGGTGGTACAGTTACGAGACCTGGACACCAAGCCGCTCTCAGACAAAGTTGACCTGGATATCGGGGACATGGCACCGTCTGATCGTGCACTGGTGATCGCTCTGCTACGCCAGTATGCGTTTATTGTGGAGAAGAAGGATGGATGTCCGCCGCTTTCGACCACTGACATTGAACACCACTAGCCGAGTGCCGCCGCTACGCGGCGGGTAAGAATGAATCTCGCTCCTTCTATTAAGCCTCCGTTCCGCTCGCCACGGGCTCGCTTCACTACTCGCACGGTAGGTTGGCAGATCGTGGCTCGGTCGGGCCCAAAGGCCCGCAGGGTTGCAGAAGGTGCCGATTTGGGCCGCCTCGCTGCGCTCGGAAGCTTTTAGGCCAATCGGGGCCACCTTCGCTGCGCTCGGCAGCCAGTAGAAATATTTAAATTATTTTATCCAATGATTTGTCCGGAAAAGCGTGACAGGCACGACTAGGGTTGGCAATTCACGACTATTAACAGGTATATTAGCGATTATAATCGTTTACATTCCCAAGTTAGCATTAATATTAACTGTGAATATCGAATGTTCAATTTCTGGCGTATGGTGATGCTGCCAGTAGGTTGAAGTCCCGCGAGATCGCTCTGCTCGAGCAAAGATCTCGCGTGAGACTCACAACACAACTAGCGCCCCCACCCCGACGTCTTTCCCTGCCGTGCAAGCTCCGTTCATCTCCACAAAAGCTCAGCCCGACGCTGCTGGATATAGCCCCTTCTGACGGTACACCAATTCTCGCGCGTGTGTGCGACGTTCAAGTCGCTTTCAAACATATTGACACAGTCTGATACAGGGTGTGAGCTTAATACGAGCGCTCAACAGTATGGCACCGTCACAGCATGAGATATGGAGGCTTTACACCGTTGCAGTTGCCCGCGTCAAAGGAGCTAAGCCCCACCCGGACGCCAGCTGCAATGCATGTGGCGAGGTGCTGAAGAATGCGCAGCCTTCGCGTAACATGCTCACACACGTGTTGAAGTGTGACAAGGTCGACGCTGAGTCCAAACAGCGGTGGCTTCGGTATGACTCACAGCGTCGTCACGAAAAAGCATCTAAGCTGCTGACCCCAGCAAGACGCTCAGCTAAAACTCCGTCGTCTATTAGTAAGCGCTTATTCCATACACCCCAGAGTGGGTCTCCACGCACGGGCTCACGCAAGAGACCACGCAGTTCTTTAAACAAGTCGATCAAGCAGAGTGAGGAGGATAATTTCTTACGGGTTGCTATGGGGTTCATTGCTACCGGTATTCCTTTTCGAGTGATTGACGACCCTCATTTCCGTGCTATGTTTGATTATCATCTCGCCGGCAGCTTTCAGAGGGCCTGTTGGATTTAATTTTCAAGCGTGAGATGGACCGGATAATTGCTTTGATGAGTGGAGTTTCCGGGTGGACGCTCGTGACGGATGGCTGGTCCAACGTTAATGGTGACAGTATCATTAATTTTGTTTTTGTGAATCCTAAATTTCCTCCTGTCTTTTGGAAATCAATTAATACGAGAGCTGAGGTACACACCGGGCGTTATATTGCAGACACTATTCTATCTACTACCATCGAGCTTGAAGAAGCGGTCGGAGCTGGGGCAGTTACCGCCGTCGTTACCGACAACGCCGCGAATATGAAAAAGGCTTGGAAGCTTGTCCGGATGGAGCGCAAAGGTATGGTGTGCACTGGGTGTGCAGCGCATGGAATGAATCTGCTGATAAAAGACATCTTTAAAATGAAGTTTTTTAAAGACGTCCTCGACAAGGCACAAGCCCTAGCTCGTTTCATCAGGGGTCGGCGTGGCCTGTGGTCGTGTTTTCGGGATACTCAAAAACAACTTAAGAAGCGAGGAGAAAAACGCCGTCGTCTCTCGCTGACGGTGGCAACACGCTGGTACACCCATGAGAAATGTATCGCCAACGTGGTTCAAAATCGAGATGTCATTGCTGCTATTTTTTCCGACACAGCCTTTCTAAGGAACTACAAGGGCTCAGACCTGGAAGAAGCGACGAAGACCTTCAAGGATGAGGAGTTCTGGCAAGACGCTGCTGTTACAGTCGCTATAATCCGGCCTATCAACACGAGCCTTGCTGCCTTTGAGCGTGATGATTGCAGTATTTCGCTTGTTTACCACCAATTCAGTTGGCTGCGTACTCACGATGTCTACACAAAATCCTTGGATGGATGTAGTACGGAACTTCAGCTGCAGGTGCTTCGCGCAATCGAGGACAGAAAAAAGAAAATTTGCTGGAAGCCACTGGGGATTGCCCATATGCTGGACCAAACAAAATCGATGGATGGGCACGACTCAAAAAACCTGATAACTGATGCTACTGAACTTGCCAGGAAACTAGAGCTTGTCGATCGATCTCAGGAGGATACGTTCCACAATGAGCTGCAAGAATTCGTTCTGGAAAAATGTAGCTGGAAAGGGACGGAGCGCTTAGACAACAATCGGTTCAGCCCATTGAACTGGTGGTCACTTCCTGATACCAAATACCGTCTGGTGCAGTCGTTTGCGAAGCTACTATTATCAATACCGACATCGTCAGCTTCTAGTGAGCGTAGCTGGAGCATCCACGGATTTATTCACACTAAACTGCGCAATCGCCTTACTCCTGAGCGGGTTAGCAGACTCGTTTTCGTGTACACCAATATCGCTCGGAAAACTGAAGTGAACCATATCATGTACCAGCTCTTTCCTGAAGCTTGTGACGGTAGTGACTCCAGCGATAGCAGCGACGATAGCGAAGATGATAGTGGGGAGCTCACAAACGACTACCAATCGCCATTACCCACAACAAGGCATCTGCGGACAAAACCAACTGGCTCTGGATCACCAACAGCAGTACTTCAAGAGGTAAGTCTTAATGATAGATTCACCACTCCGGTTTTCAATGGACGAGAGCAACCGATATGCCAGACAAGATAGATTGAGCTGCAAAACAAATAATATATATAATTCCCTTCTCAAAACACTACCGCACACACACAAGATGATAGTCAACACCGTTGCATCCACAAACACACTCGAGACGAGCCGGTATTGGCGCTCGCCGGGCCCGGTGCACCATTTCAATGCAGAAAGCTGACCGATCATAGTTCGCCACTCAGAAAATTAAATTCATCTATGAAAGGGAGTCTCAATGACTGCACTGTCAGCTCTCCTCACTGGGTGTATGCAACTTTGAGCACGAGGCAGTGTTCTTTTCATCAATTTTTCCTTCTTCATGACCACGACTTCATTTCCAGATCAGCGTTTAGCGCAAAATCATCTGTAAGCTGCAAAATTGTTGCTCCAGTGCATTACCTTCCTAGCGTTTCCAAGTTATTGATCATTTTGCATTTTTTGAAATGCTAGACTTTCACAATAGAAGCAATAGAGTTAGCAAGACTCACGCACAGCTATGTCGACAAATATTGTAGTGCTACTGATCGCGATATCTTTAGGGGTTCATACCGCTAACTGATGTTTCGGCTGCACTTGACCGCAATACCTTATCCTCTTCCCGGCTCGGATCTTCCAACCATCTCAGGTAGCGGTGCTTGCATTGCACCAAACATTCACAGATTTTTCCGTGAAAGAACCAATCCAAAATTGTGCCTGGCCACCTCCGTAAAGACTCCATCATCCCATAGAAATTATCTCGGAATGGCAGTAGCTAGCGTCGTGACCGATGTGCGTACTCTTGGCTTCTTGCTCTTGCATTATGAGCTCCGTCAACTAATTTTCCTCATAATTACTAATACCTCACGATAATAACTGCTCGAGTGCCGCAGACACATCAAATTTCTAAGAAACAATAACACATAGTCACCTGCGTTTCCTCGAAGAATACGTTGTAGCCTCTCAGGCTGTCCACTCGAACGATCGCCTTCCTCGAAGCCTTGGGAGCGCATTATTTGACAGTCTGTACCGCAAAACATGCAGCAGCAGGCGTTGAGCTTGATCTCTACGGTGAACACGAGAAGTAGTCGAAGACAATGCCCCGGTCTACTGCGGTGCAAAGAGTACGCCGTAGTTGAGGGAGCAGAGTGCATTGTGGTCGCACTACAGCTGCTGTCTTTCGGCAAACAGATCCAGGTAGCTACCGCATAGCTTCGGATTTGTAGCGCTCTCCGACTAGTGCATACCCATGCTCAATTCTTCCTTGCCATAACCGCTTCGCTATGCGAGTGGAAGTCGGGTTGTACAGTAGCCCCGATTGTTTGTTTGAATTGTCACTGTGAAAATTTAGTTATTCATTGGTTATTAACGATTAATAACCCATTTCAGCTAAATTTAGCTGATATTAA